TCTGTTTAGAGACCAAAAGAACTGTTTTACAAATTTATCTGTAGTATTAAGCATCCGAACATCAAAATTTTGCTTTTCGAGAACATCACGACCGATGTCTGGGAGAAGGTATTGACTCGGAGGGTCCGTGACTAGAAATATTTAAAATATAAGTATAGGTTCGCTGAGATTATTTTCATATTTCTTACCTTCAACATAAGGCATGATAATCTCATCCTCGTCTGCCGGTTTGAAGGTCGCATTAAGTGCCACAATATCTTCTTCTGTGAAATTAGATGCATCAGAAGGGAGATCTTTTAAGTCATAGCTGGAACGGGATCCGGAAACGGAACCAGAACTTATTCTTAAAGACTTGGCGGCTCTTGTAAGATCCGAATCTTGTCTGAAAATACGTTGTTTTTTGAAGCTTTTCGTGAAGTCTCTGAAATACTCTCACTTTCAGCTTCTTCAGTTTTTCGTTGATGTTTTTTGGTCATGAATAACACAACGTGACAAAAATAAAAGCTATTGTTGAAACGGTGAGAACGAAATGTACAAATTTTACTGGAGAAATTTTTTGTGATTATATTTCACGCATGCGGAATTTCTGACCTTCCGTAGTACAGACATATTTATGTTGATCATGTGTCCATGCTATTAATAGCTACGTATTTATTTGACTTAGATAAGCCCGAAGATGATCCTCTTGTAATTCGGCTACTAAGGTTTGACACTCCAAAAAGAGATAGAGGCATGGCAGAACACGCAGGTAAAAAAAGTGCCCTAGCTAATTCATAATTTGGATCAAGAAAAATCACGTGTCCGTTCCAATTTGGAACGCAGATCAATTTGGAAAATTTTTTTATCATCCACCCAAAATAAGATAAATTCGGTTGCTTAAGCAATTTACTCTTAATGACATATTTTTTGGTAATAATCACATCATCTGTCTAATAAATAAAATCGGGTCTCAGCACCAGAATGGTTATAAAAAAAAAGTAAGATTCCCATTATGTGGATGAAATCGTTGAGCTATCTTCCGTTTGTCTATGGATGTTGATAAAGGTGTATGGAATAGTAAGGACATGTAGTATATTATAATAAAATATTGGATTCATCTTTTTAGAGTGAAGAAAAAAAATGTAGGTTATTTTCTGTAGCGTTTTATTTCATGATTCAATTTTACACAGTAGATTACTGATTGTTTTCCTATTTTTAATTAATTATTTTATATATTTTAATTAAAAAAAACATCTTATTACTCCACTGGTTTATAATGTGACATGATATATTAATACATCAATTAAGAAATACATGTTTATTATATCTAATTTACTAGTAATGAATATGTGAAAATGTACATCTTTAACTGTGTTTATAATTGAACATTATGATGTTCTGACATGTATATTCAATTTGGATTTTCATTTTTTCGCGAAATGCTTGTCGTTTCTTAGCTTGTAATTTAAATTAAATTGAAGAACATAAATATAAATATTGTTGTATCAATAATTTCTTTTTTTATTTGTATATGTTACATTTTTGCAAGGTTTAATTGACTCTTCATTTATAATAGTTATGCACAGATTCTGCTTCGTAATTTATGTCATTTAACTTCTTTAGACATGTAATAAACCTAAAAAAATATCTTCAGGAAAAAAAGAAAATGTATATAAACAAAAAAATCCGTCGGTATATACGTCATACACAATGAGATAAGCCTGTTAGTCATTTCATACTTCGTTACGGATTACTTAGGTTATTCAGAGTTAATATGATAATCACATGCGCTTACGCGTATGGTACTTATATATATAACCCGTGAATAACCTATTATCCTTCACTACGTATGGAATAACAAGTATGTATTTTTAGTGACACAATATTGCATTACAATTTAATATTATTAACAACTCTATTGAAATTATTTTGCATTTCGTATATACAGTATTTTCTTTTTTTAATACCAATAAAGAATTGATAGCTTGTCCCTTTTCCATAAGTTAATATCTTATATAATTCAGGAAAAACTCTTGACGAAGTCCATTCTAAGGATAATTTATAATCATGTTTTCTATTATAAAATGGAGAGTTTCCAATTGATAATTCCGTCATAATTACGCCAAAACTGTAAATATCAGAAGCTAAAAAATATAATATATCTGGTAATATTTTATCATCCGAAATTGCTTATCTGCTGGTCCTGATAATCCAAAATCTGAAATATAAGAAATATTACTAATTTGTATGATATGTCCACTATGAATAACCTTATGACAATATCCTAAATGATGTAAATCTCTAATGTCAGAAATTACATAATAAAATTTTAGTTCTCCATAAAATTCAAATGATAAATGGTTTCCTTTACAATACTCACAATGTGCTTTAAGTTAGTTTTCGTAATAAATATATTAGCAAAATTAATTAATATATATAAATGTGATATACCTCATTAGAGGCTGCAACAGGCAGGGTTCAATGTGGGAACCCGGCCCGGGTTCAAGGTACCAGCCCCGGGCTTCAAAATTTGGACTTATGCAGGTCTCTATACCTCATTAAAATATTTAGCTGACATATCTCGCTATCCATTTAACCTTTCAAAGCAACCTTCATAGGTTCGGGATCCGATTTTTTCCAACTTCCGTCATTTTTCCGATTTACCATCGACCCATGTTGCAGAATCATGTTCATTACACTGAACGTTACTTGAAACCTTAAGAGCGTCCAAACACGTATTATTATCAGTTAGATAACTAAGGTACTTTGAAAGCATCTTTTACAATATCCTTGACCATTTAACGTTACATTATTTTCGGTAAGATATTTTCGACTCGAAAATTATTTATGCGTCAAATTTCTCATGGAATTCTTAGAAAACTTTTTTTTTCCCAATTAAAATTCTAGAATTATGATTGTTTGCGAACCTTATTTGGTTTAATTGGTTTAGTATTAACTAACATATGTATGTAATTAAATAATTGATTTCCTTTTTATTTACTTTGAAAAAAATAGGTTTTAATATTAATTTCTTATATATCTTGATTTTTTTATTTAGTTTTCTTCATTTTCACAACAAATTTGTATTACTAGATTAGTAAAAGAAGTTGACCTATATAAAAGAAAGTGATTATGACTTTAATATGGAATGGTCATACAGACCGGACTCGTTATTTGTAATAAATTACAATTTTTATAAAATAAATGATTAAAAAAACTTAAAATTTTCGAGGTTTAATTAATTAAATATAATTGTATTTAAAAATGTAAGTTAGGGTTAAGAAAGTGCTGCATGTCCGGCTACGCAGTATTTGCAGTTAGTAGCGTAGCATTAGGGTTAGGACGTAACATTAGAGTTAGGACGTGGCATTAGAGTTAGGACGTGGTATTAGGGTGAGGACGTAGCATTAGGGTTCAGAAGGAAAGGTTTGTTAGGAAAGCCGGCCGCAGGCCACGCAGCCAATGGCTGCGCAACATTTGCGATTAGTTGCGTGGAATTAGGGTAAGTTCGTAGCATTAAGGTAATTCATTTGTTAAGGAAATTAATATTTGATTTATTTTATTATCAAATATATTCAACTAAGCATCCTATAAATCAAATCACGTGCATACAACTCACGCGTCCGGGAGTTAGCAAACCTCCCATATACGGTATTTGCAAAAATTTAATATAGCTTTTTATTAAATAAAAATCGCAACCATCGTAACGTGTCAATAAAATTTTTTATAAAACCACAGCATTAAATTTTTTAAAAAAGAAAAAAGAATTATTTATTTGAATTTTATGGCATAGTTTCGCTTTTAAATTTAAAAATTAATTAGTTAGATTTTCTTCTCTTAAGGCCTATTACAGAGCGCCGTCTGAAGCAATAATCAGATTCTTTGTATTTTTATCAATAAAAACATTGTCCTTTTTCTATTATTTAAAATTTTCGATAATTATACTAGTTAAATTGATTAAATTTCATAATTTAACAATAAATTACTTGATTTTAACAAACTCTTCGTTATTATACCTTACATTGAATGAAATTTATTTTAACCCATTAAAGCAAAGATTGACTAAATGATTTTTTTAAATAAATTCAGTCTTATTATAATAATGGCTAAATTCCAATAAAATGCGCTAAAAAAAAAAAAAAAAATACGTAAATTGAATTCTAATTATCTTATTCAAAAATCTTCCATTAATTGTTTTACTTATAAAGAAGTAGTATTTTCTCTATATAATATTTTCTTAAACCATTTTCGTCCTAACGAATTAATTTCTTTCATTAATTTCTTAAAAAATAATAAGCTTTGAGACAATTACGCTGACGGCTTTGTTGGAGGATAAAAAATTTTACTTTAAATAGCCATAAACTGTACGCAGCGACTGCGATAGTTGCCTAGCTGAAACAGCTGCTCCTTAACTTATCTTTTATTAGTGCTGTTACAGCACTAATTGGTAAATCGAACAAATCAGTATGACAGCGAATTTAATCTAAAAGCAGGAGAATTCATAGCAATATAAGCATAGTTTCCATTTAGTAATGGCTTCTAACGTGTTATCAAACGGCTGAAAATCCTTTGTATAGTAAAAAAATCCTGGTGTATTTAAGCGTTATGGTCGTGCAATGGTTAATATGCTTTATAATATGCTTCTCATATCAAAATGTCATATTGCTATGATGCCTATTTTTACAAAAACACCGAGATCTCGAAGAGAAATAAGTTTTACTTATTTTATTTATGCTATTTCAAAGTTATAAAAAAAGAGAAAATAGACTATTCAAATTCTTTTATTTCATTTCTAGCCTTAAATTTCTTATTTTTATACTTTTCATTGTTGCGTGAATAATTACCGTCTAACTGAATGTCAAACTTCTGAATTTTTAGAATGTGTAATGCATAAATTTTTAATTTGACAGAGTGAACTTGACAGAAAACAATTCTCACTACCGTTTCGAATAACTATTTTCGCCTTTATGACCATTTTTAAGATACAGTGTAAGTATCAAGAAGAATTTTCCAAAGAAAATAGTCAATCGTCAAAATAAAAAATACAATAAGCAAAAAAAAAAAAACTTCAGTTAAACCAACTGATTTAAAATAATTAATCAATTTGGCCATAAATCATAAAATTATTTATTATAATAATTTTACGAATATTAGAATGGCGAAGTTGCAAATAAAATAAGATATAACATAAATAACATCAAAGAACGTGATCAATTTTCAAATGAATTTGAACCAGGCTCAAGCATAATAAACAGGGTTTATTATTGAGTCGCGAAGTTATGAAGAATAAACATCAACAATCCTCAATATCTCTTGATACAAATTTTTTCTTTGATTTTTTTTTAAAATCAGATTTAACAAATAGTTGAAATAGCATGTTTTTATTCAAGATTAATGAATTGTTGCTTTAACTGAAAATTCCAGGAAACAAGCATTTTAATAATTAAATTTTTTTATCCATTTTCTTTTTACCTTTGACAAAATTGAATTAATTTTGTAAGATATTTCTCAATTATGCTGCAGCTGCCGATCATCGATAATAAATACTGTTGGTTACAATGATTTACTAGATGCTTTTTTCTTCTTTTTTTTTTTTTGCCAATACTTCAAGAATTATTATCATTTTCGTTATAAACAAAATTAAAATAAAATCAAAATGCAAGCTGTCAAGTGGGTTAATTAGATTGAAGAAATTATTTCAAAAAAAATATATCGAATACTACGAATAAAAACCATTTTAGAAATGTTAAAGAGATTGGTACTGGTGGCTTTGGAAAAGTCTATCGAGCAAATTGGAAAAGTTTAAAGAATATCTCGCTTTAAAAACGTTTGATAACTTTAACGATGCCACAGTCAAAGAACTTGTTCATGAGGTAATTACAAAATATAATTATTTCGGTTTATTATGTATCAAATCATTATTGCATACATAAAAGTCAAAAAATTATATTTATAAAATTTAGCTTGAACTTCAACGTAAATTGATTTACATGATAATATTATCCGCATTTTTCAAATCAAGGTATAAATGTTCATAATAAAGTTTATTATTAAGATATTTATATATTGTTATTTTAATTTTTATTCGGCTTTAAGGAAAAAAAAATAGAATAAAAGACTAAAATGATTAATTGAATGAATATTGGACAGTAATGGAATATGTGCTTAGAAGTTATTTGAAGGATAATTTTAATAAACTTACTTGGCATGATAAATGCAAATTTGCATTACAGTTGACAAGCGCCGTGTCATGTTTACATAAAGAAGGAATTTGTGCATAAATTGGTAATCTTATAATTTATAATGTGCATTTCCGTTAATGAATTAATAAATTAATTTTATTTTATTTGATGAATTAATATATTGCCTGTATGTTATTATTATTAAAGGTGAAGTGTTATTATAATTTAAAGTTCATAATTTCACTGTCGGTCCAAAAGTGTGATGCTCAAAATCACGATCAAGAAAAAAAACGAAAAATAATTTTCATAAAAAAAAAATGGTGTAATTACGGATCGACCTTAAAGTTCCGAACACCTAAATTATTATTTATCACGTAATTCGACATAATTAATTAAGTTTAGGGACGATGCATTCTAAATTTTTGTTTTACATATATCAAATAGCGCAATGAAAATTATTTTTGAAGATACGTTTTTTCGAGAGTTAAAAAAAAGTTTTTATTGAAGCATTTTTCGTTAAATTTACAAGATTTTATTTAATAGTATTTACCAATATTAGAACTTTAAAATAATGTAAATGCTTGCGCTTAGCCGGATATAGCTCAAACGATAACCGTTATCTCCTGAACACCGCGTAGAGGTGGCAAGCTTCGTTCAGGTAAAGAAATATTTGAACCATCACATATCAAATGGATGGTTCATTTGAGGTGATAAGAATGTGCAAACGAATATAATGGGGGTATAAAATTAAAAATAATTAAAAAAATTTTTCACCTCAAAACATCATCGAAATACATAAGTCATAAGAATATTTTTTTTTTTTTTTTTTTTTTATATTTTTTTTATATTTTTTCTTATAAGTTAATATCTAAACTAAAAAGAGAATACGGATGAAGTGGCCAAAATGGGGAGAGGATTTGAATTGCAAAAAGGAAAGACGAAACAGCCAACTTCATATAATATATACGATACCCATCCCATGTATGTATGTATCGTAGTCATGCTTATCAAAAGATAAACACCCTAGTGAAACTATATTAAAAAGGGGGAATCTTTATTTTATTTTTTTTTTTTTAAAATTTTTTTTTAAATTTTCTTTTACTTAAGTGTCAGCCAAGGCAACGACGAAGAAGAGGTGGTGGTCAGTTAAAAACGGAGGGGGAAGGGATAAAAACCATAGTCAATGGCAACGTAGATACCAGGAGGATCAAGATCCATTGGTTCAGGCCATTGATTAGTTGGGATGAAGGGGGTTTCAATAAAAATGCCAGGTGGATCAAGATCCATCGGCTCTGGCCACCTAAGAAGTCTATAATGTACAAAGGGGCGATTAAAAACAGGGAGGGTTAAAGTGGGGGTGGAAGTATTAGAGGAATAAGAAGAAACTGAAGAAATAGAAGGGGATGAATAAGGGGATGAACTTAAAGAAGAGGAAGAAGGAGAGGAAGGGGGAGAACGATATGTTGTGATATTAGGGAGGGAAGAAAAAGGAAGAGAAAGAACAGGAAGGTTAGTAGGGGGAACAAAAGAAGGTACGGGAATAGGTGAAGGAAATGGGGATGGAGAAAAATTTGGGCCAGTAGAAGAAATAGAAGAAGTGGAAGAGGTAGGAGAAGAAACAGGAAAAGTGGGAGAATGAGGAAAAAAAACTAAGGAAGGAGAAGCAGCTGTTGGAGAAGGGGAAGGAGAAGAAGGTACAGCTGTTAAAGGAGCAGAAGAAGAGGGTACTGAAGGGGGTATGGAAGTAAGGGAAGTTGAAGAAATAGGTCGTCGCCTTGGCGCGACAACAGCACGATTGACACCTTGAACGCGAACCTGTCGAGTTTGTCGAGTCATCGTTAAAAGATTCCTTAAAAATAATAAAATGTTATTTTTTGCTTTAATCCTTTTGAAAAATTTCGAAATGATGGAATAAAGGTGAAAGAAGTTGAGAAATCCTCGTTATTTATTTTCTTCAAAGGATGATCGAAAACAAAAATTAGCCAATGAACAATCAGCAACCGATCATCTGTTACGTCATTCGTAATAACAAATGATGACGTAATTTGCTAAAATGCCCGTGATTTGGGGAAAAACATTATACTAAAATAATAATTATATTTTATATGAATAAAGTCGAATTTTGTATTGTCTATTATACAGAACAAAGAATGTGATTTCATTTTTTTTTTTTTATATCCTTTATAGTATACTAAAGAAAAAAAAATTTCAAAATTATAATAACAGGATATAAACTTCCTTTATTATAATTACGAAGGATTTTGACAATATAAATTCGATCTTTAATTCCTTCTCGTATACACTGCATGCCCCTTAACATTCTAAATTATAAAATCAAAAAAGTAAATTATAAATATATAGATGCCAAAAGTATTCGGAATTCTGACGAAAACGAAATTAGAATTATTGAAATTTTCCCAAGATACGTCGATGTTTTGTATAAAATTTATTCCAAATTCGAAATTTCTATCGCATAAAATTATTGATTTAAGATCCGAATTGCCACTTGATTCACACGATTTTCTATTGCAAAACCGTTGAAGATATGAAATTTATGACAAATTCATTCATGGTATTTTAAAAAATTATCTTATATCATATTTAAACTTTTAGTTAAACTATAGTATAAATTTATTAGCAACTCAAATATGTAAAAAAATAATGATATGATTAATAATTAGTTTGAATAATTTGGAATTGGGCATTCTTGAGTAAAATGATCGAACATTTACACAAAGAATTTACTGCGTCTTCTTAGGGAGTGAAGACCTAAAAAGCGCAAAATTCGAAAAGAAAAATAAGAAACATTTAGACTCTACGCCCAGAAACAATCCAAAAAAAAATAATTATAATAATAATTAAAAAAGTAAAAAATAATTTATTGGAAGATAAATCAAAAAAAAAAATTAAATTAAATTGCTTAGGTCCAAAAAAGAACAATAAAAAAAAAAGAAGAAAGAAAAAACCTACCAATCAAATATTGGAAATCAAGCAATCTCCTGAAATTTTTAAAGGCGAAATAAAATCACCAAAACCAAAATAATATTACCTATTACTTGCAGAAGTGTTCCAACCAGAAAGTGGAACGAACCTACGTAAAAAGACGCAAATTCCAAAAAAAACAAGACAAGAAATTAAATATTTGATCATTGCGGTCCGAAGCGACTTAAACGAACACGAAACCAAACAACAATCAAAAAAAAAAATAAATCTATATTCGCGCAAATGATTAGATCTGAAAAGGAAAAAAGGGCGCGAGATTTTTTTTACCCGAAGTACCAAATCTCTTTTGTTTAGCGCAGTAGATCATCCTTCCAAGAATCCAGTCCTCGTACATAGTAAAGAGTATATTCTTTAACCGATTCCAATCTCTAGCAATAAATAAGAGAAAGAGGTAAATGCAATTCCAACAAGACCTGGTCAATAGCTGACACAGTTGCACATTTTTAGAGTCCATTATTTGTTCTTACACTTCACGTTGTATTCATCTCCGAAGAGTTACCAGTGTCTGAGTACATCTGGCGAACTTAACACAAGCTTCTCTACTGATTCTGAAGGAAGCTTCGGTTATGTATCTTTCTTTATAAGCTGAGATGTTGGTACATTTATGCAGATTCTAATTTTTTACGATTGTATTTATTGTGAAGTATTTCTGCCTTGCTTTTGTAATTAATCTATCAGACTTCAAATATCGAGAAGAATTGAAGCGGCAACCAAGCAACAATCAAACTTTTTTGCAGTAATTCCTTATGTTGATCCAAAAAGATTTTGTAAGTTAAGAAAAAGAACTCAACAATATACGTTGAATGAAAAAGTGATGTTTACGTACTTTTATAGGAGATATCAAGTGGTCGACCACCTTTTTTGTTAATGATGAAGAATATGACATTATGGTTTACAGATCACAGATTTTCGAAGAATTGTTTATTATCTCGCTAAGCGTAAAAACTTGTTGAATAGATAATCGATTAATCGACACAAGTAACTTTTTCAAAAGAAAATAGTGGAGATTTGTAATTCAAAGGGTTTAAAGAATGAGTATATAATATTCGTGATAAGAATTACATGAGAATACTAAATGAATTCGTTAAAGAACCAGATGATAAATTTAAAATCAAGAATAATTTATTTCAATCACCACAAATTAAAGTGTCTCGAAGGAAGTCGTTAATCCATTTACTTAAGGGGTTTTAACCAAGAGAGAGGGACTAATGGTATGATCGTTTTAGAAACTTATCATAAATGCGTATGTATGAATAATTTTAATGACATCAAAAGTAAGTGGTAAGTCGCTATAAATTTTCATAGGTAAATCTCCTAGTCTAATTGATCCTGGATTAATATCTTTATTAGAAATTTGGGTGAGGTCTTCTAATATAATTCCAAAGTTTGTAAAATCTTTTCATAACCACCACCATCATATTCACCATTACCAACAACTTCACAGTTTTCAAATTATCATCATCACCAAACATAACTATAATCAACACCTTTCGGTATCAATAACGAACAAAGTAATGCGATAGTTGTTTTAACTAAGACTACTTATTTTGTGTTTCTTTTTTAATATTTAAAAAATATATATATCAGCAGATAATTCCACAAAGTTTCATCATATTGATTTCCACAGAAATATTCAATATAATCAAAATATTATCGACCATCAGTACAAGTATAATGATTTTAACATTCAAAAATTTTTGAATTATCATCTTCAAATACAATGTCCTCACCTTCCCTTCTTATATCTCAAGATCTTGTCTTTATCTTCTACTCAGGCCTCATGGACTGTATTAAATTTCCAGAAACCATGAATACATGCTTTTGGGATCTTAAAGTTTTACAAGGCGTTTACATTCATCCAAATGCCGAGGTTCCCTGCAAATATTCAATGGATTAAAATAATATTTTTGTTAATCATTTATTTTTACATGTCTTGCATCATTTGATCGTAGATTTCGGTAATGTCTCCAAAATCGTGGCTCGGTAATTTCTTTTTGGAAATTCCTTGTGATAATTTTCTCTGAACTCTCAGATCCCCACAAAAAAGGATCTCAAACTTTTAAAGGAGGTATGATAATTGATGGTAATTGAATAATAGATTAACTGAACCCTTTTCAAATCATACAAAATTTTACAGTAAATGAGAAAACGAAAAATTCTGGCCGAGAACTACTTAGCGTTTTGGTATCGATCTTTTTTTTTAAAACAACTCTTGCGAAGACCCGAATATGAGATTGGTCGACTCTTCCCATATTTCCTTGACGCTTTTCTTAAACCACTTTTGATGAAAGAGAATTCTTACTCATTTTCAAATTAATTGCTCTGCTACTTTAAATTAATTCTCTTGGTAATGGTTGTTCTGCAAATATTATTGGATTTTGACAAACAAGGATCAAAATATTCAAAAAAAAAATTTAACATTAAGTAGCAAAAAAAAAAAAAAAGAAAAGAAAAATTCCCGGAAATTCTGATGGAAACATCAGTGTAGTCGGGATAATAGATTTTTACATTCTCGTAATTCCGACCGTATCAAATTTTTTTTAAAAATTGAAAACAATTTTTATATTAAAAAATTTTTAAAGTAGTACTCACATTAAAATAGCGTAAAAGCAATTTCCTGCCTTATAAAATTACCTGCGCTTGAAAAATATTATCTTATAATGTAAATTTGTGTGAATAATAATTGTTAAATAATTTTTTTTTTTTGGCGATTGTAAGCTTTCTAAAAATCGATTAGAATCGATTTATCGAAACCGACCGAAATCGAATCTTAGCATCAAAACACGAGAAAAAAGTAATCACAATTAATCGATTTTAAACTATTTTTGATATTAGTTGGTGGCATTGGTGCTTCAATCTTCTATGCTATGAATCATGGTTAAAAAATTGTGGCGCAGAAATATGCGAAGACAACTTTATGAATTTTATAAGAATATATATAGATTTTATAAATGAATGAGAGGAGTGAGATCAATAATAACAAAGAATTTATGAACTACATAAGGTTTTCATATATTAAAGCAATGGGTTAACGACTAGTAATAAATTATATAATTTTTATCATAATAATTATGACGTTAAATTTTTAACGAATAAAAAAGGTTAATAATTATTATGCAATAGTAATAATTATATTGATATACAGTAATTAAATAAATATAATAAGAAGTGTAAAAGAAAAAGTTGGCGAACGATTCAAAAATAAAAACAAAAACGTGAAGGACCGAGTAAATCGATTCAATTTATAATCATTATTGATGTTTTTGCTCCGGACCATTCCTCTCTAAGTGTGATTCAAGGTTTACTGCTTCAAAATGTAGCAAAATGTGATATTTCCGCTCAAGGAACATGCTCCTTTTAGGCTTTCCTCTTTACCACTCTAGCCATCAAATTGTAAATATAAACTTTAACAAAGAAGCTTATCGATGGCTTTGGTACTAGAACATACACTGACAAAAACGTTTTGAGAAATGAAGTAGTTGGTCAAACTGTACAATCTTTTAACAACAATACTGAAAGGCCGACAGAACTTGAGGATGTTTCGCCCTTCCTGATTTATCTTAAGTATAAATATTGAGAGGACAATGGAAACAATGCAAACGAGAAAACATCGTGCATATCTGGCTACGGCCTTCACCTCAGATTAAGACCTCAATGAAAAGAATTTTGTCGAGTGAAGGTCCTTCTTCATTTTCATCTTTGCACTTAAATGAAAATTATACGATCACGTGGTCAAACTATTTAATCAGCATCGCGAAATAATTGAAAATGATCACGTAAACTTACTCTGTTCTCCTATAGTTAACATAGAATTTGAGTTTCTCTATGAAGAAAGTGAACCTAACTTGAAGAGCTGGAAGTTGGATGATCTTGTCAGAGATGAAACCATTACTCCTTTAGGTGACGGAAGTATAAATGCAAGTTTTGGTCCCTGTAATTGTTTGAAGAGTTGATAACGCTTTTACACATCCCCATAAGCTGTGAACAAACAATATTTCGCTTCAGTTTGGTTTAAAGTATATTCAAAGCTTGGGACGCCGTGATGAAATTGCTCAACGACCTATCACCAATTTATATTAATTATTAATTTAAATTAAACCATCAAGATATTTTTTACCTGCTTTTTTTTAACATCGTGCAGAATAAGAATTTTTTTGATCAGTTTTATTTCACGGATTTTAAAAGATATTATCTGGTAAACGATTAATATTTACAAAGGTCGAGGAATCGAAAGTTTTATCCGGAGTTATAATGAAATATTACTTAGCAATAAGTCTGGGAAAAATTCCACCAAAAAAAAAGCATAAACCTATTATGCATTTCGATAGTGATGGTTTTGATCCTGTTACAAAGTATATTTGTGTTGGAAGTCAGTGTCCAATTCCAGCTAGACCTAAATTTAATTCGGAATTTTCAATTCTAATGAGGTGGTTGATTGGCGAGATACAAGACGTGTAATATTAATTTTCTCGTGATGTCTCTTTTTTAAAAATATAAATTGTTATTTTCAATGACATAAATTTATTAACTTTTCCACAAGTTTGAAAATTTATATTGAATCGTAATTAAATGTATAATTCAAGAAGAAATGTATCCCTTCTTTTTTTTTAAAAAAAAAAAATCCTTACTAAATACAATTTCCAAATATAATTGCATTTGAAGGATATCTTCGTGTCTACAAATTTTTCACTCAGTTTAAAATTGTTTAGATCATTATAATATTTTTCATAGATTTTGATTCTATTAAAGAATTTTATTGTTTTTGTGTATCCAGACCTTAATAAAACATCTTCTAAGTTCGAAACTCAAAAAAATTTCGAAACAAGTGAGCGATAAACAATTTTACTTGATTAGGGAAGAAAAAAAAAAACAAAAATTTATTTTTAAGAGAGTTTCAACTACAAAAACCAAACCGGTTTTAATTTAGTTTCCAAAAATAACTCCAATCGTTGTCGCAGTAAAAACAGAGAGGCAAAGTAAATATTCTAGCGAAATTGGTAATTATGATTGATTTGCATTTTGTTTTCTATCAACAAGTACTGAAGCAGTAAAATTTAATAAATGAATGACAAAAAAAAAACTCTTATGCGGAATGCAACTGAAATTATTCGCCTAAAAAATTATATCAAGTAACTATTGTTAGCCGCAGTTTATACTGTGCCTTAAATGATCTTCAACTGCGCCAAATATCATACATGTTAAACATGTAATATATGTATCGTTTAGTCAACTTTATATTACATGTATCGAATAGTTTACCTTTTAATATAAATATTATATAGTCTACTTT